TCGCTGGAGTAGAGATGTGGAGAATACCAAGCTTGTTCAGCCGAAAATAACATCTTACTTCCTGAAATAAAGTTAAAACTGTACCGCATGTTTGTTCTCCCCATCCTAGAATACTGCCGTCCCCTCTTTGGTCTGATGAATACCCCTGACCGCGGTAAGGTTAAAATTTTCAGAGAGTTTTTGCTCTAAAAATATTTTCTCTTCCTCGATCCACTATTTTCAAACGGAGAGCTGTCAGTTAGCGTACATGACATTGCTTTGGATTAGAAGACTCAAAGCCGGTCTTTTTCCTGGTTCGCGTTAACTCTAGCCCTTATCTCCCAAGGATCAACGCTCTCATTCCGACAGATCGACCTTATGCCACTCGTAATTCCTACATGATAATTTCACCACCCTTAAGCTCCACATCTAACCATTCTCGTTTATTGCCTCCAAATATGTCTTCCTCTGGAGTAATATTCCCCCCAACTTAGGCTGTAGTCTACATTGGCAGTTTTTAAAGCCAAATTACGTAAGCATTTCACTTCGGAAGATATAATGTCCTTGTTATCCATCTCCATCCCAAACTCTCAATTTTTGGACTTTGAAAAGGGTCCTCCTGGTATTTGAGGCGGTTCCATGTATATTCAATTGCTTTCAATGTATGTTTATTTCACCCTCTATAGTACGATCTTTGCAGCGGTATTCAGTCCCCTACTCTGTCCAACTATTATTGCCAGATGTTGGTCAAATTTCTTCATTCTCCGTTTAACAGCCCTGATGATGGGTTTCGCGGTCTCTGGTGATGCTCGTGGCAGTTCTGCTGTTTTCGCCAGCATGTCGGTGGACGCTGCAGTCCGCAAGCCCACATCTCCGGTATTTCGGTCATGAGTTCGTGAGCTCTACTCTCGCCTCATCCTTTCGATCCTGTTGTCCGTAATGACATCCCCCAGTCTCACCTCCCCAATGGTGGATCCTGTAGTCAGTCGAGCAATGCTATGACGGTGAACCGCTGCCAAATGATTTCTCCAACGACAAGAAGCGTTGTCGAACCCTCATACGTTCTCATCAACAGTCCTGTCTCATTGTATCGCATCAATCCTATCAACCAACCTCTTCATTTTTATAGAAGCTCTTTTTTCTCAAACATTTTATTTTTTAAAGTGGGGGTCCACTGAAATCTGCTCCTGCTTTCATGGTAGGGGTTTTTTTCACTGCTTCCTCCTTAGTTCACCATACGTTTCAGAGAAAGTTGACAATTATTTTAAAGTAACGATATGTTGTTGGTTACGAAACGAGCTGCCTACCATTCCAAGCACTTCTGCTGCTCATGTGGTTGCTCACAAGGAGCAACAGTTGTTCACTTTGTATTTATTTTTATCACGACACTAGGTTTGCAATGACGAGGCCCCGGGGCCTCCCTGCCAGCATACGCCCAAAACTGGGCAGGGATGACAACGGGGGGATGCAGGTGTATCCGGAGTTGATTTTAAGGAATATGTATCATTTCGCAACCCAACCTTTTCAGAATGCTGTAGACGGACCTAAAATGCAATCTAACTCATTTTTAATATACTCCTTCATTGAATTTGTATCAGGTGCACGACGCAAGAATTCGACTGTCAATTTCGATAATATTCACCGTATGCTCTATAGCGTGATGGTGCAGGGACGGTGAATTCCGCGTGGATTAGTTTTAAGTGCTGGTAAACTTTCTTTGCACTTATCACACCCACTATTCCCTCCATCCGGCTGTATCCACCCACAGCCGAATTTCAGAATACTTTGTGGCATGTGTAGAAATCGGCGAAACACAAATTCAAACCGTTGTACTCAGTAAAACCTGTCCGGGTGTTAATGGAGACCCCAAGCGAGATTGCTGAAGAGCCTGTCAGGCAATATTGATACAAAATAAATTGTCTCCGTCAGTGGCGGAGGGGATGAAGATCATCGCGTCGGCACGGAAACTATGTGGCGAACTATATAGCCGTCTAACTGATTTTAATTCCGAACAATGGCTTCTTTGATTTCTCAGGTAGGTCGTTATATTTTTATTTTTTGTGTGCTTGACTACGGCGGAGTCTGGACTGAGTGGTTCTCCTTGTGCCGGACCGTCTTAGCAGTGGTCAAGTGCGTGGTTTTCAGTCAGACATAGTGACGGCCGAGAATTTAACATAAGTCCAGAATGTTTTGTTCCGTTGTGGACATACCCATCGGCTACAGCTGATACTAGTAGACAGATCGGTTAGCTGGGTTTAAATTGCGGCTATGATCTCATTCCGTAATCTTGCGACCGCCTGCCAATGGGGCACAGAAGTACCCGTTAATTTTTGATTAACTTGGCAATACTCTGCTGCATGGCCAGAAGAATGCCTGGTCCTGATTGGACTTCTTACGCAAGGCAGTTGTTTGCGTTCGAATCGCGGCTAGGAAAAGTTTTTATTATTAATCGAATGAATGATTGCAGATCGAACACAATGAATTCCAGGCATTTCTCTTCTTATCCGGTCGCTCGTTATGGCATTTTGACTATGCATTCCTGCCCTGAAGTGACCTCGGTTAAGTTAAAGTAGCATCAGTTTGATCGATTATTTGGTGATAGAGTAAAACGTAAAGATGCCGGGAAAAGTGGGTAAATTCTTTTTAACATTACTGTTGAATTTGTTTTTATTAGGCGTCCTGACGATCGGGAAAAAGGAAATTACTAATAGAGAAGCCACTTTGGTTGCAAACAGGGCGGGTGTA